AAATTATATCTTTTAAAAGTACAAACATTTTTCCCAAAACAAATAGTCCATATTTGTGGTTCATATCACAACTTTTTTTTTACTACTTTTTCTTTCTTTATTTTTAATTTTACCATTTATGAGCTCACTATTCATTATGTTGAATATACGAGGCTTGCATTATTTGTAAGACTAACATTAAGGCAGTGTCGTCCGCCACGCCTTCAATGAAGCAAGAAGACTAACATTACCCTCCCATTATGGCTTCTCATTCTACTTCCAGAAAGTGGGAAAATTTTAATATGCACCCGGCTCACTAAATTTTTTGTGCTCTTTTTCCTTTTTTTGGTAAAAAAAAAATACTCTTAAACCCTTATTTTTTCTTATATTTTTCTCCTAGTCCTTTTTATTTTTCGTTTTTGACCAGGAGCATCACACTTCCGGACTATCAAATAATCGTTCCAGAAAGTGAGGTTTGCCCTAACAGATGTAATAGATATATGATGGAATAGTTGTTTTTTGGGCAATGGTGATTAGTGATCACTAGCATGGTACCTTTACTTCTATATGACATTGATGTGATTTGGATTAGGCAAATGTCATGTCATAAGAACTAATGTGTTAGGGTTAGTTGATGTTGCACTAAATTTCAAGCTTATGTAAGTTGGAGGTAGTTTTAATTCACAATTTATCTGCATTTTGAAGGGTTTTTTCTATTATGGTTAAATTTTGAATTTTCAATAATTGTTGTGAGTGAATGATGTGTAGTTGTTATTTAAAATTTATCAGTTATCTGTCCTAACTTTTCTCTGTTAAAATAACAGAATCAAATCACATGAATGGCTTTTTGACCTTAGTAGTGTCATTTTCATAAGGTTTCACCAGAATAATTTCTCGGTCAAACATATTACCTATATAATGCATAACGACGCGGTACTGTGGGAATCACTTTAGGACGTGACACTTTAGCAACCGCGTCCTTTGCAGTTGTTCTTGACCACAGGAACGTGATACCCTGGCAATCACGACTGGAACGTGATATCCTGGCAATCACGTCCTATTCCCAAGACGCGGTACACTCTCAGCCACATGTCAGTGGGTCCCATCCCAAAAAAAATTCAACAGGAAGCGGTAGTGTTTAAGCCGCGTTCCAGGTTACAAGTCAAGTCGGAATCAAGCAGATATATATATTTTACCTAAAATTTAGACATATTGATATATTCACGGTAAAAGAGTTCAAAAAATCCAATAAAAGCAACAAGTTATTTTCGTACAAAATGGTTTTTTTATAGTTGCTAGCAATTTATTCGTTACTGGTTAGAAGACTAACTCTTAAACCAGAGAATAATTAATTTAGAAATTTAAAAACAATAAAATTATAATTATTATAATTTTAAGGTGTTGGATGAAGTTCTTTATAATAGTTTATATTATTCACTTACACACTCACTTATACGAAAGCCCTTTGAGCTTGAAGTATGAATTTTGCATAGATTCTTTTTTTTTTTTTACCTTAATATAAATCATTAAAAAAACTCTCACTCATCACATTAAAATTTTGGATTAAATTGTTTCTTTCACATATTGAAAATCGAAAAAGCAGACCAAACACGAAACAGGGGTATAAGATTGGGTACTATTGGATTTATTGGATGTTATGTACTCTTTTACAATGAATATATCAATATGCCTAAATTTTAGGTGATACATATATATCTCCTTGGCTCCGATTTGACTTGTAACCTGGAACGCGGCTTATACACTACTGCTTCCTGTTGAATTCTTTTTGGGATGAGACGCACTGACATGTGGTTGAGAGTGTACCGTGTCTTGGGAATAGGACATGATTGCCAAGGTATCACGTTCCAGTCGTGATTGCCAGGGTATCACGTTCCTGTGATCAACAACAAATGCAAAGGACGCGGTTGCTAAACTGTCACGTCCTAAAGTGATTCCCACAGTACCGCGTCGTTATGCATTATATAGGTAATATGTTTGACCAAGAAATTATTCCGGTGAGACCTTATAAAAATGACACTACTAAGGTCAAAAAGCCCACATGAATTGATAATTTTTAGGTTAAATTGCATAAAACCATAATCAACTTAAGTGCCTTTTCAAATAACCACCCTCTAATTTCAATCAAAACAATAAATTCCTTAAATTATAAGATTAACACAATTAAACATATCTGATAATTTTAAGACATTTTTGCCCTTATTCTTACCTCCTATCAGCTATGACTATTACTAGCCACCACCTGTTGCCATTGGCTTGGCCTCCCACCACCTATGATGCACGGACACGGACACGGGACACGACACGACACGACACGCCGACACGTTAATTCTAAAAAATGTCATATTTGGACACGTTGGGACACGTTTTGATATTAAATAAATTTTTAATATATATAATATAATTTATATTTAAGACATATAAGAGTCCATAATAAGTCATATAACCAATCAAATATTTAAATTTCATAACATAAATATAAATATAAATAATTTTTCGTACTTTGTTAATTTTTCATGTCAAATTTCATAACAGAAAAAAATTAATTTATAAATTATTTCTTTTATATTTAGTTAACAAAATAAAATTAAGATTTAAAAAAAAAAAAAAACGTGTCCTAGCGTTGACTGCGTGTCCAAAAAAGTTGACTGTGTGTCCAAAAAACGTGTCGGAACGTGTCGGAGAGTTGACCGCGTGTCCCCAAATATTGACCACGTGTCGGACGCGTGTCCGAGCGTGTCTGTATCGGACACGTGTCCGACACGCAAAATTTTGTTTGATCAGCGTGTCCGTGGTTTAGTGCCCACCACCACGCACCCTTCATTAGACAAATGTTTGAAAAATTCCAGGAAAAAAACCAATATGTGTGTTATACGGTCGAAAAAATTGGTTTATGCCATTCATAATTATTTATTTATTTATTTTTATTTTTTTTCTCATCTTTTATTATTGTTGATCTTTTATATAGTTATCATTATTCAAATTATCCTGTCATAATCCAATGGGTGCAGCTCAGTTGGTAACTTGGCGCTGAGTTAGTGGAGTTGGATATGTGTTCGATTCCCACTGAATGCATTCTTGAGGAGGGGGCTGAACCTTTAGCCATCACTGTTCCCCCGCACTCTGGATTAGTCTCATAGCCGGCTCAAAGAGTCGAAGCTCGTAGAGATACCGGAGAGAGCCAACTCGTCTTAAAAAGATAATTAGAATTGAGTAACTCCAAAAAAAAATTATCCTTTCATATCTTTTTCAAGGATCCACTCCCTCGACAGTAAATTGGGACGCTTCGGCGCACACACTAATCGTAGAATCCAAGATTCGACCCTCACTCTCACACACACCTACTGTGGCGCCGCATTTGAAGACTTTGTCGCACGCCCACGTGCCCCTCCCATGTTCTATTGCTTCATTCCTACGCCGTAAACCCCGTGTATACTCAACCACGGTCAACCGAAAATCTTAACCATGGTTAAACTTGCCACAAATTAATTATGATTCGCAGTTTTATTATGGTAATCAGAGTGCGACCCTTGCATCCTGGCTTCGCTGGTTTCTATCTGCCACGTCGTCAACAATTATTAGCCACCCCATTCTGGGCTCCACTCAGGTAACAGTCACTATCCCTTGTATGTAATCATGACATCATGGTCTCGCAATTGTTTCCATCTTGTCAACTTCTGATCAACTAACGGCTCTGATTTGAAATCCACGTAGCCACCTCTTATTCTTGTTTCTAGGTATGTGTCCAAGCTATTAATGAGCTCAAATTACAACCGTAACCAACGACTTTTTGGTTCATATACGAGTTTTTTTTATGTGCTTAATTATTGATCATTACCAATTATATGACCTATTATAATGCTTTTAATATAGGTCGTGGGGAAGAGATGCATTAAGTACATAGATTTGTGAGAGGAAGATGTTTCTCCGTCTCGACCCCGAATTTTTTATTTTTGGACTAGAAACCCGTACTGTGATCGAATTCTTGTATAGTACCACCACTACATTAGAGAACTTTCCAGTCTGATGATCTAATGTTGAAAAAAATTATATAGTGCTTGAGCATACAAGTTGGTTCAACTATTAATTAAAGACCCAATACTAATTGATACACGTATCAAATTAAATTAAACTGCTTATCCAGTATCCACCACTATCTTGGCCATAAACAAAAGAGAAAACGGCTGGCCACTTCTCAATTGGGACCCTGTGACGCTCTCCTCATAAGTTATATTATCTTCTCATTTCCGATAATTGATTTCAATTCTAATTTAAAAAATATTGAATTACTCGTTTTTTTTACTTTGGCTTATAGAGATATTCATAAAATATGCAGAAGTTGAAACTTCAAAGCTAATTAATTTAAGACTTTAATATTTCTAAAGTGAATGTAGATAAGTTATCTATATTCGCTCTCAAAATTACGTCACTTTGAATTAAAAATTAAAAAATTATAATAAAAAATATTATTATAACTCTGAAATAAATTATAATTATAAAAATACCATGATTTTCACCTTAAAATAATATCATTTTGAATTGAATGTAGATAAATTATCTACATTGACTTTAGAAAAAGCAAACTCTTAATTTAAATTAAATTGAAAAGTGGAAGCGTACAATAGAGGCAATAGAAAAAAGGGGAGGATAAGGATGCGTTAGAAATTTAGAATTCAAAACTAGAGGGTAAGTAGTTGGTCTGAACGCGCACTAAAAGGCCAACATGCTTAACGACAAAACTAAAGAAAATGACAACGTTGAAGACACCGGCACCTGCCAGTTTCAAGCGGGCACGTGTCGTTTACAAACATCGCATCGGACACGCGTCGTTTTTTGGTTGGCTATAGCGTAATATTTGCGTCATTACAAGCATTTTTCTGAAACTAACTCGAGGTTATGACAGGGTTAATTAGGGGATTGATTATGTGATTAACAGTAGTAATCAAGGTGACACGGTGCTATATAACAGAGTGAGAGTCTGAAAGCCAAAATCAAGAGCGGCGAGAGATACTCACAAATTTTTTTTTGTCCCCATTTTCGTGAGCGCTTTCAGATTGTGTGGTAGAGCTTTCTTTCATCTTAATTCGTCTCCTTTTCCCCCCTCTGTAACACCCCGCTTCTCTGAATCCCTTTCTGTTAATCATCTGTCTTTCAAGTTATGATTTTTGGGTTTGTCTTTAAATTGATCAAGAAGCAAACTTGAAGGATTTCTCGAAAGTCAGGTGTTTTCAGAATCGAGATCCAGTTTTTTTTTTTTTGTTTGTTTCCTTTTGCCTTTAAATTTGTTAGTAATCCCCCCGCCCCCCCTTATTTCCTGTTTTTCATCTTTGAAATTAGCCAAGAGGGTTAATTTTTGATCCCTCAAAGTTTTTTTTTTTTTTTTTTTTGTTCTTCTAAGATCCTGGGATTGAAGGGATTGTCTATTTAAAATCTCTTTCATCCTTTTTTTCTTGTAGAAAAAATTTCTTTTTTTTTTTTTTGGTTTAAACTTTTAGTTTCAGACCTGTTCTTCAGTTTTAGAAAGACGCAGGCTTAGTTTTACAAGCTATGGCAGCTATGATGGATTTCTACAACAGTACACAACTTCTTTCAGATCCCTTCAGGGGTGAACTAATGGAAGTTCTTGAACCTTTTATCAAAAGTCCTTCCCCAACCCTTTCTTCTTCTTCTTCTTCTTCTTCTCCCTCTCCCTCTCCCTCTCCCTCTGCGGCCTCATCCCCTTGTTCAAACTCATCTCTACCTTCTACTTCTTACTCTCCTCCTTCCACCTACTTCCACTCCTCTCCTCCTCTACCTACTCACCCCACTTTCTATTCCAATGGTTGCCCAACATCGATGACCCATGTATTTGTAGACGGGTTATCCAACAGCCAAAACATCATAGGCTTCGAGCAACCAACTTCTCTACTTGGTCTCAACCACCTCACACCATCTCAGATCAATCAGATCCAGGCTCAATTCCAGTTACAGAACCAGCAGAACTTGTCATGGCAACATCATCATCATCATCACAACACACTCAATTTCCTTAGTCCTAAGCCAATCCCAATGAAGCATGTGGGTATGCCTCCAAAACCCACCAAGCTTTACCGAGGGGTGAGACAGAGGCATTGGGGTAAATGGGTCGCTGAGATCAGACTCCCAAAGAACCGTACAAGGCTATGGCTTGGTACCTTCGACACTGCGGAAGAAGCTGCCTTGGCTTACGACAAGGCTGCTTACAAGCTCCGAGGTGACTTTGCTAGGCTTAACTTCCCCAACCTACGACACCAAGGTTCCTGTGTTGGAGGAGAATTCGGTGAATACAAGCCTCTTCATTCCTCTGTCGATGCCAAGCTTCAGGCTATTTGTGAAGGCTTGGTTGATTTGCAGAAACAGGGGAAGTCAGAGAAGAAGAAGCCTTTGACCTCGTCCAAGAGGTCAGCAACAGCGCGATCGAAACTGGGGTCGAAGGTGGCTCAGCCAGAGTCGACGGTGACTCACTCGGAGGTGCAATCGGTTGTTTGTGAAGCTGATTTGAAAGGTTTGGAGAAGAGTTACAAGGTTGATTCAGCTTCCTTGTCTCTGGTGATGACCGAGAGCGAGGGATCTGAAGGTTCTTCACCCCTTTCGGATCTTACTTTTGCTGATCATATCAGTGAGCCACAGTGGGAAGGTGATTCGGATAATTTCAATCTGCACAAGTACCCATCTTACGAGATCGATTGGGATTCTCTGTGAAGCCGTGTTGTGTTCTAGTCTGTGTCAGATATATTATGTAGTTTGTATCTTAGGGAAAGGTATCATGCATAATTTAAGTATATTTGTAGGTCTTAGTGTCTCAGGTGGCTACTGCAATGGAGTTTTTGGCAATTGCAGGGCTACTCCTTAGGGTATTTTGTTATGTTTTTTGCATGTTAATTATTCTGTCAATATCTTGTATAATCTCTATCTACCTTAGGGTCACAGCTGGGTTTTTTTTTCTTGCTGGGCCAGGTAGAATGTCTCTAGTTATGTTTTGAAGTTTATTGTTGTAATCTACTAGAATTCCATCTTATGAATTATTAATATTGTACTAAGTTTGTATGATACGTGTTTTCCCTTTTCATATACGTCTCAATTCGAAATATTTGGATGCTTTCTTGATCGCTGTGTTCTTGGACATCTACATACGTGTGAGAAAACCCCATTTTAATGGGACTGACATCCCCAAGTTTTCTTTCGAGTGATTTTAACTCATCTCGACTAATCTTATGCATTAGGAATTACGTTATATTTTTCTCGCTAGATTTTGCTCAAGTTTCATAATTTAAGGTTGATTCAATTACATCTTGTGCTCTTGAAGATTTTCTTAAGCTTGGTCTCTATTGAAAGGAATAAGCCAATAAGCATAAGTGATTTTAGTCTGGGTTATTATAAAGTGTGTACGCGATCAGAATCAGGACATTGCCGGAAGGCTCTCAGAATATATTCCTCCATTGAGTAGATACAGCAAATTTTATTTGCTTAATGAGGTGCTAAATAAAAAGGATAGCACTTTTTTGTGAACCTTTTTATTTAGTAGCTGGTACACGGAATGTGGGCACAGTAATGCTTCACTTCTGATTTGGACATTCCGCATAAGTATAACCCCTCACACGTTTAAAATGGCTATGAAATATGAATACACTCTCAACCAGGTTATACAATGAGATGGCCAGCATCTGTGACTTCTGTAAGTTTATTTTGTTTTATCTTATTTTTTCACTATATGTGAACACTGAATAGCTCTGCAGAAAAAATATTTCTTGATGACTAATTTTGAAAATTGAAAATTCGAAAATCGCAAAGGGTTCCCATGAAAATCCCGAAGCACAATATGCTGGCTTTAGCAAAACTCGTATTCGATAATCAAACATAAAAAGTATAAAACAAAGCTTTCACCCTTTCACTGTTTCACATCTTTCGCGTCTCCCCATGATCAAAAGTTAATCAAGAAACTTAAGTGTATTTGATTGTTGATTTTTTTTTTAAAATTATTTTGTAAAATAATTAATGAAATATGTGTTTTTTATTTAAATTAATTTAAAAATTAAAATACAAAACAAAAATGGAAGAGATTATACTTACCACCTATTTACTACATGTTATTAGCAAATCTTAACTGTTGATTTTCGTCAATCTAACGATTGTAATTTATGAGGTCATACTTATTAATTAATTATTAATTTATAATAAATTATAACCGTTAGATTGACGGAAATTCACGGTTAAAATTTGGTAGTAACAAGTAGTAAAAAAATAGGTAGTAAGTATAACATTTCTCAACAAAAATAACTTAAATATGTTCTCTAAATTTAATTGTAAAAATAAAAAAATCTATTTCCATAAAAGTTATTTCAAAAAATAGGGAAAAAAAAACACTATTGAAATACCCTATTGACTAATTTATTATAAAAAATTCGAATGTGCGTGTCTTCTCAGGTAATGTACAATATATTATCTGTTCTTATCTTTATTCGGGGAGATGGGATGAGTTATCCGAATAACTTCTATCAACAAAGCGGGGTCGGGGCCATTGCATAATCCAATCCAAATAAAGAAGATGGCGCTAACAGGGTGAAAAAATTGTGTAGAGATAGAGGGTAACATGTCATTCACGAAAAAAAGAAAAAAAAGCATCCTTGCACTTTGCTTATCATTTGTTCTTTGTAATATTACTTTTATTATTATTACTTTTTTTTGAATGCTTCTTTTATTATTATTACTACACATTATGCATGTCACTTCAAATCGTTGATGCAGCAAACAGGATAACTAAAATTCTAACATAAAGGTTTAATTACAGTTTTATTCCTGTACTGTAACTAAAGTGTGATTTTGATCTTTAATAATTTTTTTCAGCAATCAAATCCCTTGGGCGGCGTTTGGTTGAGGAGAAATTTTATGAATAATAGGAAAATGTTATGCATAGGAAAATGGGTGAGAAGTGAGATTGGTAGGAAAATGTAAAAAAAAAGTTGTTTGGTTGGAAAAAATTTTACAGGAAAAATTAGGTAACTTTTGTAAAGTCTATGTTTGGCTATAGGTAACATATAGATGGGAAAATGCAGTGGCTATTATGAAAATAATCCTGATTTAAATTTTTTTTGAATGAACAGGGAAGACACCCGTTACCCGTAAACAGGGTTTTCCTTTCCCAACGTCAATGAACGTTATGTATGAACAAGAATAAAATAACAGCTACTAGTCTTAGTTTCAGCTCCAAGGACAGTGATTCTTTCCAGTTCTGATCTCATCCATTATTTTCCCATCATGCATTTAAGTGTTTCAAAAACAAAAAATCATTCACTTCATACCCCTCTCACTTTCACATGCAACACCAATCAAGTTCAGAGCAAAAAATCGACGCTTTACGTTTGTTCCTATGCGCCCAGACATCACTATTCCTTCTCCAATTCCGAATTTGCAATGTTTCTTCCCCTCTCACTCGCGGCGCAAAGAACGGAGGCTTCGCCGCCGCCACGGCGATCCTCGGCAACCCTAGTGAAGAAAGTGATTCAGATTCTTCTCCCTTTCTCTGCGATGAAAACGCAGAGAAGAAAACATCCTAGGCGGTTGTTCCTACGGGCGGAAGCATCGAATTGAACGCGAGCACGCCACGAATGTTGGCTGCGGCGGCGGCAGCAGAATCGAGTTCGAGAACCCCGCATGGCGGCAGAGCAGGACCGGCGGCTGATGAGGTGCGGCCATGGGGTGGCTTGATGCCGTGGACCCAGCGAACGAGTGCGATGCGAGAGGAACGGTTAGGGTCGTACTCGATCCTTTCGACGACGCCCAATGAAGAAGCGGTGTTCCGTTTGAGATCGACGGTTCGCTGCAACCGCTACGCGCCATTGCCTTATTGCTCTCTTGACCCCAGACAGGAGGGTACGCTCGTCATCTGATTCTTGCCCATTGTGACGATTTACATAGATAACATGCAATACCACATAGCAAATTAGAAAATTTCACCGGGTATTTGGATCAGATACACATGCAAATTGTTAAGGTGGGGTAATGATATAGGTGGGCATATCTTCAAAAAGCTTCAACCAAACAGGGGCACTCACTAATCCCACTTCTCAAATGCCTATGCATCTCATCAGAATCCATTAACCAAACACCTCCTTAATTTTTCCCATACACGAGTCACGTTACGGTATTGTTTATATATATATATATATATATATATATATATATATATATATATATATATTCTTACTTTTTTTATTCTTTCGTTTTCCTTAATTCATTTTTGACCGGTTGCTAATAAAAATCTTAATTTTGTGATTTTATTTTGTTGCGTCCAATTCAGAATAGAAAACTAAAGAGTATTGAGATAGGATTTGAACTCAAGACCACTTTAGCTGGACTTCTATTGGCTGATAGCAAGTTCACCCATATTCATGTTATATCAATTTGGGTTTGCCATTAATGGGCTGGCTATTAAATTACTACTATTCAACAGTATACAAAATATCGGGCCTAATTAGTACGCGATATAGGCCCATTAGGCATTACGTTTTTAAAGTTAAGTTTGTCCGAAAATGGCCTCCATCCCATATATGGTTTCAATTGGACAAACTTAACTTGACCATTTTCGGAACCAAATAAATGAAAGCCCAGGATGTGATCTATCACACCACTAACAAGCATAGCTCCTAGATAGGAATTTTGCTCTTAATGTTAGGCTGGGTTTATATTTTTACATAAAAAATGCACTTACAGGTAATTACTTTCATTTCTTTTTTCATTAGAAGTGTTAGTACGCGATATAGGAGAGTAATAATTGGCCTGGAAAATCAAATCTCTAACATCAATGTTCCACTCAATTTTAAAAAGATCGATAGCAATTGAGTTACAAACTCATGATAGATGGGATCATTTTTTAATTTCTATCATGTATGCAAACGTAATTCTGGAATTTTGTTTTTATCTTCATGACTATTATCATAGAGAAAACAAAAAATATTTGATTATCTATATATTTATGGACCTTTACTTAAGTGGCATTCTATATTTAACATTCTAACCTAATATTGGGATGTCTCCCGTGTCTCTTATTTTCAACCAAAGCTTTACTACTTTCTCTCTAAATCACTTATTATCAATTCTCTCTCATGCGTAGTGCATACACTAACGCCACTTTGATGCCCCAAGCAAACTACACCCCACTTTTCCTCTCTAATAACATCACAACGTCGTACGACCCCTTCTTCCTTGTCTCCTCCCCACCGCTCCCCATACTCCCATGGAGGAGCGGGACCCGCCACCACATTATGCAAACAATAGCCATAGTTCCAAACCCAAGTTACCTAACATCGACCCCGGCACCTACGTTGTCCACGTCCCCAAGGATCAAATCTACCGTGTTCCGCCCCCAGAAAATGCCCGTATCGCTGAGAACTATCGAAACCCTCCCTCGAGGGATACTAAACAAACACGCTGCTGGTGTTTTGTGTTAATCATTGTGTTCATCGCCATTGTCATTTTTATTGGAGGCCTTCTTGGTGGCCTTTTCTCCATAGTACTTACACCAAAGGACCCTAGGTTTTCCATCCAACGCTTTCTCCTAGAGACCACACCCCACCCCAAATACAACATCACTTTACAAGTCTACAATCCAAATTCAAAAGTGGACATTTCTTATAAAGAAGGAGGGGTTGTTTCCCTCTCTTTAAGGCGACAAGGAATTGCTTCAGGAGCCTACCCAACTTTCCATCAACCACATCATAATTCAACAGTGTTTGGCGTTGCTTTGAAAGGCTCAAAAGCTGGTTTCCCTAAGGAGGTGGACGAAAGCATGAAAAGCGATACTAACAAAGTGCATGTCGCATTCTCCTTAACCATTCACGTCCTAGCACGAATGAGAATGGGGTTGTTGCGTAGTGGGACAATGAAATACGACGTTACGTGCCAACTGCTGGTGGATACATTGGCGAAAACCACTACTCGTGTGCTTTCTCAACAATGCCAAACCAAACGACACTAGCTGCTTGATCAGCAGTTGCTGCTTCCTCGTCATCTTGACTTGTGACCCAGGTGTTATAGATTTTAAAGTTTTCTTCTTCAATTCGATGATGTTTTGGTTTTGACCCAACGTGCATATTTTAGTGATCGGAAAAAAGTTGTATATAAGTTGTATATTTTTATTACACCCCTTGCGAATATTAGATGCTTAATTATAATTTCTTGTATTTGCTTTTTGCGGTTGAGGGACGCTATTTCCTACGAATGAGTTCTGTATCACAAGTATAACGGAAGTGAGTCACTCTAACGTAAAGATAAGGATGGTAGTATTTTATACATGGGTTTTATAAGAGTTATGTTGTAGAAAAAATGATTGTGTATTATTATAGAGATTCGTTTTGTGTGTGTAATTTCTTTTATTTCTTTTTTTTTTCAAAAAATGTAGATCCCACAAAATGTTGTGTGCAGAAAAATTTGTTGTGTCGTGTTAAATGACAAATGCAAATCCCTTTATACATGTATATGAATCATGGGTATAGTCATATGAATTGGCTACTGTGTGCATCAAATTTTCTGAAAAGAAGAAAACTACTGCACAATCAATAGCGGAAATGGAGTGGACAAATCTAACAAGGAAGCATAATTTAAATATAAGGTCACACCATCACAAAGCATTTAGGAGAACTCTTGTGATTGTGACTCAGATTGACTAAAAGGCTTCTTAAATAGTAACAAAACCTGATGTTGGTGTATAATATCATTTGAAGTCAATTTCTATTTTCTCCATTCATTGTTTTAATTTTTCCAAAATCATCATATATACTCCTCCAAGCTTTTTGATGAGCAAGTGAAATAGTAGATGATTTTCAACTATTTAATTAAGGCACTTAAACAATTTGTTTTCCAATGACGAGTTCTCTATTATTAATTTTTTTTAAAGGGAGGCAATCAATCAAGAATTTGGAGGAAATCCCACGACACCTTTGTTCGAAATCAATAGCGGGTGATTCATTGATAAGATTATGTTGTCAAAACCTAAATATATCATCACGTCAAAAAAATAAAATAATAATTATTGGTTGGATCTGAAATTAAACTTTGAACAACGAAACGTCTCATCTACTGTTTAAAATACTCATTGGAAGCAAACTTATCTCCCCTGCATGCATATAAGAAATATCTAACAAAGGAGCGCGAAGGTATTTAGTGGGCCTGGACTATGGTGATCTTTTCTCAAAATAAAAAAAAAAGAAGGGATGGAAGAGAAAAAAATCAAAAAGAAAATGGTATAAATGAAAGAAAAATTTTCATTTATAAAAAAGGAACCACTGAATAAGTGATGGACTTGGAGCATATTAAATTTTTCCCGAAGGCACCTTTGGGTACCTTGTAACTGAAAGAGAGAAAGATTCTTTCTAATTTCTTTTAGTTTTTTTTCCGTTACTACTTCCCACTATTCATCATAAACTGTTACAACAATCACATTAACACAACAAAGTATCTTATAGTAAAGAACTATTAAATTTTTTTATTTAAAATGAAATTGAAAAGATATCTGAACAGCTTCGGAGGCCCGATGAGGTGATTGGGCTAATTTATTTGACAGGCTTCTAAGTTAGTGGTCTTTCAGGATTGTTATGTACACATAAAATAAATCAACAATAAATAAATCAATTTCATCACACTTAATTATTTAAAGAATAATAAATAAATAATAAAAATACATTAGAAGTGAACTTAAAGCAACCCTGTAAATGGGAATTATCAGATATATATTTTAATTGGAGAGTAAAAGCAGAGATAGATAAAAAAGAATAGATTACTTAATTTGCCCCAAATCAGGTCTAGTCTTCTGTTTTGGTTGTTTGTTTGCTTTTTACTTTTTAAATTTTTAACATTTCAAATTATAGTTCACCTCTGATTTTTTTTAAAATATTTGAATTTGAATTTGTTGTTAACAGTTTCTTTTCGTAGACAATGTGCAAGTGCTTTCCAAGTTTTGGCTGAAATTAATGACCTAATTTTAAAATGAGATAGTTTACCCTCATTCAAACTTCTCTAATCAAATAAATAACCTTGTGACTTATTACCTCTTGGTGTATATAATGATTTTTTTTTTTTTTTTGAAAAAAATTAAACTGTGTTGTAAATGCCCAAGTGCTTGTACGCTCCGCGGGCTTGACTTAGCAATGTACTTGGAAAAAATAAATTTTATCTAGACTTATGCACAAAATTCTAGTTTAAATAAGTTCCGAATTAATTGTTTATATTTTTAATATATCGTTTTGACATTACTAGCTTCTCATGAACTAATCCTGAGTAGAATTTTTCTTAATGGTAAAAGAAGACGTAATAAATTAGAAAAATCATTTTTCAAAAAAAAGAAAAGAAGGGTAACTGTACTTTTTTATTTATTTTTGAAGGTGGGGCAAATTTATTCTCTAACTCCAACAACAATAATGATAAAGTGCAAAATAGAGCACTTGCAAAGGAGAAACGAAACGTTAAAATTGTTGGCACATATCCAAAGGCCACCCTTCTTAAGCACTGAGTTGTGTGTACGTGTTATATGGAGCTACTACTCATTAAAAGTTGCAGCTTCTAGGTAAGGAAAGGTTAAAATGCCAGCCCATACAAGCATTTTCTTTGGCATTGTATAGTCATCAAAGTTAGCTGCTTGCTCGAATGCTCGTTATGGTTACATCTGTCCCATTTGAAGAGCTGGCTCGATGCATGGTAGCCGAAAGCTATGCTATAATGCTCAGCGATTTGTTTTTATAATTATTTTTTTATTATATAGTTTATCATCAATTTCAGGTTTTTGTCCTTCTAATGAGTCAACCATGAATGAAGGGCTAGATACCAGCAATAACCCCTTTATGCAAACTAAAAAACCCCACTATTTTGCTCCCTCCAACAGCAACAGCTGGTAATAAACGTACTTATCCAATTATTCAATTCCCAACCGGTGCTAACCAACAATATATATACCATTAATCAACACCGTACGACGTTTCTTATATTTTGGCGCATTTGCATAATATAACAATGAACACCGATATATATGCTCGACCCTAAATGCGGGGACCAATCCAAGTCCTTCTGCAGATTGTAGACACGTTTATATGTATATCCATCCATTATTGAGTACCTCTATGGAAAAATAAAGCATGACGGAGAACCATATATAACTTATTGTTTAAGCAATAATAACAGTGTACTTGACTAATAATTAAACAATAACCCTAGTTGTTGAGGACGCAAGAGTATTTTAATAAGGTGGGAACTTTAAAGGTTTTAAATATATCCCCTTTAAGTTGGGTTTGGTCTGTCAACTTATGAACGCAGAGCGTATTCTAGCAATTAAACTTTCTAGGATATTTTTTTATTCCCAGGTGTGGTTTTATTGGGAGCACAAAGGTTGTAACTTAGAGCTGAAAGGTATATAAATCTTAAATTGCCTCGATATCACCCATAATAGGAAAATGAATATATAGCAAGCACGCTTTATATAATTTATCATTCACAAGTAATGAATAATACTTTACATGAGTGAAAGCTGTTGGACTTTAGCATAATGAGAGAGTGATGAGGGGTTCAGTTGGATGTGTTGGGGAGTGGCGGTTTTCTTTCAATAATTGGAGCTTCTAAGACTTGGTTTATTTCAGTTTAAGGCACCAATGATGAGAGACTGAATCTGTAGTGCAACCTATCTTTACACGTATGAAAATGAAAGCATGGGTTCCAAGGCCTGGAAGCATGTTTGGTGTCCCCATTAAGAATCCCAATGTCTTCTTCAAATCAAGCATTTTGAGTGGATTCCAACTCCTCTTCAACCATTTATAAGATTCACAAAGTGGTGGGTTTCCCTTTCAACACCTAACCCTTTGAAAATAACCCATTAAACTAGAAATTAGATCTCTAACTTTGTATAAAATATTACTATTTTGAGATTCCACTTTGATGATATTCGATTGAGGTGGGCTCTGTCAAATCTGGGTGCCCAATGGTTTAGTTCACCGTCTCTTTGTGAGCAATTAAAGGCTCTGTTGTTGAGGTTTAATATCCTAATTAAACAAGGATGGAACTTTCAATTGTTAATTGTAAGGGATGTTGGGAATTAGAATCAATATCAACCCTCTGCCGTAATAAGTGCTTCTCTTAATTAGTTTATTATCCCAGATTCTCTTCTTTAATTAGCTATAGGAACAGTCTTTAACATATAATCATGATCATAATTAATAAAATATGCCCCAGATTTAGAGTTCCTGGCTCCCTGTGATGGTGCCAGCCGCTCCAACTCTCATCTCAGTCCCATTAAAGTTTATTAAATTCATTCCTTGTGCCCATGTCATTTTCAATCTCATGTCTGTCAAAAGGATGATCATAGATATGCGCCTAGTATGCAAGTTGGAAGGTACAAAAACGAGCATGTTATTTAGTGAGAATCTGAGACTATTATTGTCATGGATATATATATTTCGTTCAATTTCAACTCCCTATGTTTGGTAACTACGTGACTAGGTTCGCAGCACCTTGATCATATGGAATATGGTTTTGAGCAATAATGGAAGTGTCTTTGAGGGCTTCATGACACAATGATGGGTATAGGGACTAGGGTAGAGTTGATCCTTTGACGTGTTAGTTGTCTTATTAGCTAGTTTAGTAATAATGCTATGCATAATTCAGGTCAGGAAAAAGTGGGCAACCAAAACAGAAACATGTATAATCGATAATCAAAGGAGGAGCCATTACGTTACCAGTTTGAAATAGTATTTATGCTTCCACACAAGGTTTGAAATTATACCCTTTGAACAATTATTGCATGGTCATTGCAAAAGACGCAAGCCAAAGCATGATTTACAAAGCTTTTTGGGTAAAACACAAACAATGCGATTTTATTGGTCTCACTTGGATTCTATTTATTTTATTTTTGGTGCGAGTGACACCTGGATTTATGATCAGGCTAACGCGATTCGTGATGATAAGGATATGCATGAGAAACATAATTATTGACTTTTT